ATTTTATTTCGTCTTTAATCCTAATTCAAGGTTTAAAGAGAGGGATTAATTTAGGATTAAAGACAAAAATAAAATGGGTCATATCATATTTTTTAATAGGTCGGGTTAGGTGGATGAATCACTAAATGGTTTAATATATTTTTTAAAATTTTTGGTTTGTTATATAAATAATTAATATCAATAATTTTTAATTAAAAAATAATTTAATAGATTGAGTGACTTTTTGAGGAAAGAATAGATAGTTGAGTGACTTTTGAGTTAAAATTCAAAGTTGAGTGACTTTCTGAGAAAGAAAACAATAGTTGAGTGACTTTTGAGTGAAAATTGAAAGTTGAGTGACTTTCTGAGAGAAAAGTGTATAGTTGAGTGACCATCTGAGGTATTAACTCGTGTTTTGATCCATTTGTTTTGTTTTGGGCTTCTGGGTCCAATTTCCTTGTACCTATCCTAGTCTAATGATACAATAAATAAAATAAGGATAAATTACCTATATATACATTTTTTTTTATTCCCTACTCTTTTAAAAAATTTCTGAATCCGTAAGGGATAGTCAAAATCTGAAGTGAGCCAGATACATAAGTATCCCAACCTTAATTCACAATTCCCCTTCCTTTTTTTGCTCCTTTAATCTCTCCCTAATTTCACTCCACAATTTATTAGTTACAATTTTAATAGAAATTTGATTTTCAAAAGAATTTTCTCTCCGATAAATTCAATTCAAACAACTCTGAAAATTCTCTCTCCGGTAAATTCAATTCAAACAACTCAATAGTTCCTCCATGGTCGTCTTCATATGGATATGGATTGTTCTTTCAACTAAACACTTTAATACAAGATGAATATATGATTATGATGATGATAAACTAAAAACAAAATCATTAATGATTCACAGTCAAATATATGATTATAGTCTTCTTCTATTGAAAAGTTGCTTCTGTAATTTTCAGATTTACATTATCCAGGTATGTCTTTTATTATCTGATTCATTCTTTTTTAATTTCATGTAATTCCTGCTGAGTTTTTTTAAAAAATTGGATATGTTGACAACAATAATACATTATCATATTGTTTTGTACCCTGCTTTAAATCTTAGGAAATTATATATAAAATTCTAATTTTTATTATTTTTGTTTTTTGAATTATTGTCATTAAACTATCAAACTATATAGTAAAAATTATTTTAGTGAGATGTAATTTGCAGAATAGTGTATCATATTAAAAAATAGTTTAACCATGATATTTAAATAACATATAATGAATAGATGATGTTTCATTTAGTATCAGATATAAATATTATCAAGTGGTATTGAGTATCATTTATTATTTTTTAATCATTATATATTAACTAAAGAATAAGATTTTTTGTAGTTACTATAATGTATCATGTAATTAACTTTTTTGTTCAAATTTAATTCATTTTTATAATGTACCACTAGCAGGATGTTTATAGTGAATGTTGAATATTTGTAGTTGCCTTTGCTGAATTCTTTAGCAATGAAGTCAACATCCATGAGCTGACTACCTCGCACAAGATTTGCAACACTATTATGGAAGTACGTTCTTGACAAGGTCAAAGTGGAATATGTTAGCGATATCGATGATCTACTAAAAGTGAAGAGTTATTTCACTCTATAACAACAAGATGACTTGGTTCATATAGATTAGTGATTATGTATTGATTCACATACAACTTTTGATGTTTTTATTGTTTTTAAGATACATTAACTAATATTTTGGAGGGTTTGTTACTTTTCAAGATACATTTTCTCAAGTTTTATAGTTTATTGTAACAAAGTTATTTATTTTGAATATTATTTTTTTATATTGTTAGTACCGTGTTACATTTTATATATTATAAGTATTTCATACATCAAAACATTATATTATAAGTATTTCATACATCAAAACATTTGATACTGTATTATTATCTGATATAAAAATATCAAAAAGAAAATAAGTATATGATTCATATATCATGATCTGATACAAAAATATCAATAAAATAAATGTTTGATTCGTAATATTTAACAAATAATTGCACAATCATATTGTTTTATGTAGTTAAGCAGCTACAAATACATTTAATATTTAACCACTGCAATGTATATTTTAAGCATGTATCAACTTAATTCTTTTTGTTTGTGATACATTCATATTCCCACTTCATTATACGCTACACACAACATATCTTAATTACTTTTGTATCAAACACAAAACAATACATAATATAAATAGTATATTTGAAACATAATTCCCTATACCAGATTCACTTTATTATATTAGAAATTACCAATCTAAATTATAAGCTAGAATTAAAAACTACTTGATATAAATTAATTTATTATATCAGAAATTAATAATCTAAAAGTACTTTTTAATGTATATATCTATAACAGTGGAAAAAAATGTTACAAATTGAAAATTATTAATTTCATACATCACATTATTTCAAAAAACGTATTCATTAAGAATCTTTCAGAAAGAAATTATAAGCTCTTTGATTGTGACCTTCTTGTCTTGAACGTCCATAACTGTTCGTGCTTGCGGTTAGTTTTTCATCTGAATTTTTCTTCCTTCCTTTTCTTGGTTGTCCTGACATTCTTTTATACATTTAGACGCGTCTACAATCAAAATCTCCTCAAATATCCTCCCAAATATAAAAAAGTTATTTCTTAATTTTTGTAGTTTCAAAAACTAAACATAATTCTAGCTTCTTCCAAAAAGTAAAATATAGGTGTGTTGTCTTGACTCAACAAGGCAACCATTGATACATTTTGCAATGTTAGAAACCATCATTCTCTCCTTGTTCATTATTGCAATTATACAAGATACAATAAAAATTTGTTACTATTCAATGTATCATTTCACAAAAAAACAATTGAAGATACATTCTTTATAATTAATCACAACATACCATATTGTTCTCAACATTTTTTCATGGTTTAGATACAAATCAACTACATGATATATTTCATACCTCTGTACCTTAATTACTCGCATTGTCAATGATACATCAAAACAACGAAGAAGAATTTTACATGTCTTTGATACTTTAAAATTACCAAACAATGATACACAAATCTAATAATCTAACACATCTGATGCAATTGTTTTATTTATAAAATAGTAACTAACAATGAATCATGAACAATAACATGACTTATGTATCGAAAAATTAAAAATACTAATTCACAATATAAAACAACTTATCTTATACCTTTCTTATCAGATCCTTATATCTTGAAATCGATTCACTTACTTCTTTGTACTATTCTCCCCGACAACTATCGTATCATTCCGATATCATTCATATCTAAATTTTAGTAAAAAATTTCAACAAAACAATGAGAACGAGGAGCAATGAAAAAGACGAAGCTTGGAGAATTTGTAAAACAACTAATCACATACCTATTTTATCAAATCTTTATATCTTGAAATTGATTCGCTTACTCCTCCATATTTTCTTCCCAACCACAATCATGTCATTTCGGTATCATTTATATCTAAGTTATAGAAAGTTTCTTCGATGAAACAGGGATAAAGAACAAAAGCGACGAAACACGGAAAACGATGAGACATGGAGACGAATCAGGAAGAACTATGACGTATATGGAGTTTTGATTTTTGAATTGATTTGTTATGGTAGAATCTAGGTTTCAGTGATTTACACTAAGAGGGAACTGAATAGCATAAATTATGGAATTGTAATTAGATTTTTTCTGTTTTTTTTCCTTTTTATGCACAACAACTGCAAATAATGTATCATAATCAATGTATCCAGACAATCAATTATGTATTCGGATGACTCCTTATTTAAGGGATTTATGCAAGTTATACATAAAATAATAAAGGGGGGCTTAAGCCCAATAACAACAAAATACAAATCTTTGTTAAAAAAATAATTTGGGCCTTGAAGATCCATTCTTCCACTCTCCGGCTTGGTCTTTCATGTATTCTCCAATTTTGGGATCTGTTCGCCTTGTCCAGTAGTTGCTCGACTCGATGGAAGGAAGTATGAGTCTTTGTGACTCCCTTGGAATGCAAGAGGAGGGATTTCATCCTGAAGAACTCGGATAGAATTAAATCATGAAGAGATCTACCGGAAAATTCAAAATTGTATACCAAGGCACACATCCTTAAGATATAAACTAGACCAAATGTCAAAGACAAGTCTGAACAAACTGCTACTAAACAATAGGCATATGTGTATGTATTTATTCAAATGCATTGAACTTGAGAAAATGCGCAACAGTAGCTTCGAAATATTAAGAGGAAACAAGCCGCTCTAGTTATGAAAGCGAAAGCAAAAACGCCTCCTAATGAGATTCGAATCCGACCCTACCTAGTTATAAACATGAGTAAACAAGCAAACATAATTTTAATGATTAACACAATCGATTAATGATACCCAAATATGAATAGACTAGAAAATCACAGCCAAAATAAGACCTCAATGACCAATTCTTGCTATGAATAAATTGGGAACAAGGTCAAGACTAACATATGAATATATGTTAGAATAGACGATAGAGCAGCATGCCAAATTCAAAGAAAATTTCAAGCGATCAAATAGCGGTATGCAACTAACTTGCAACTTGAAAAGAACTAGGAAGGAATATGCCATAGCAAGAGATCTGAAATTTTTGCACTACTTCCGCCATAACAAATAATTTCTTTAAGTATATGTTTCCAACAACGGATAATAAAAGGTAAAGGGAACTTTCAGCAACATAATTGTTAAGAAATCTATTTAGCATTGATTCGCAGAGAAAAAAAAACACTAATAAGAAGATCAAAGTGCACCTAAGGCAGGACCCACGACCTCTTTTTTACTTGACACTAGGATTAAATTACTAAAAACATATGCTTAACTCGTTATTAGTGGACCATCAAGTGATAAATGAAGAACATGAAAAAAAAAGTATGAACACTAGCAAACAGGTGATGAAAAATAAACTATGATAAAATACAGACAGAATGGCGAATCGATAATGCACGGAACTTCATACTTAATCAAAACGAGGCAAGAAAGCACTAGAACGGCCAGCGAAAATAAGACTCGACCGAGGTAGAAACGACCAAAATAAAGCTCAAATTCATGGACTAAACAAAAGTTCGACCAAAGCGATTCGAGATGTTAAAGAAGTTTACCTTCTTAAGAGCAGCGAAACAGGGAGACAAGTAATTGGAAGCAACTTCAACACTAGCTGCGACCCTGAGAGTTCTCGGGGGTCTTGGCGAATTTTCTGCAGAGCGCGTTGCGGAGAAGAAAGGGGTTGGGTCAGGTATTGGAAAATGGGCTTGGAGCGGTTGGAAAGAGGGGTTGGGTTAAAGGGATTGGGCCCAGTTAGGAGTGGGCTGAATAAATAAAGGGGTTGAACGGGGAATCGAAATATAAAAATAACACCCTATACACATTTAAGGTTATATATATCAAGTTATAAACATACTTTTCAAAAATAAATTACTTATAGCAGATTATTATCGAGTTATAGCATATCAATTAAAAATATTTAATTAAAAATAAACTATAAGTAATTATTTAAATACTAATTAAT